TTAATGAGCTGCGTCCACGTGTATTTATGTATTACTTTATGTGGAAAACAGCCATTCAATATTTTAAGATCATATAGTTCACATGTCTCTCTAAGACTTTCTCCGTTGTCGTTTAATACATTTTCACCAAATCGCCCCACAACATTATGCGCCATTCGTTTTGCTACTCTTCCATTAAAATCACCTAGAAGCACCACTTCTTTACGATTTCCAATAAAATCCAGAAGAATAGTCAGTTTCTCTAAAAAGATCTTTTTCTGCAACACTTGCATCGTCTATTGGAGCATAAATTTCAATAATAAAAATATTGCGTCATCTTAGTACAAGATCGAGACGTGCTATTCTCTCAATTGCTTCCCAGCTATGAATGTTTTTCTCCAATCTTTTATGTACAGATATGGACACTCCTGTTTTTGCTCGCTTTATTTCCCACTCAATAAAAAAGTGAACATAATTTTCTTTCTTTTCATTTCCCTTTCCCTTCTTTTTTGTCTCACTCAACACTATGATATCCATGTTAAACTCCTCTATTGCGTTAAAAACTTTATTTACTTTAGTGGCTTAAACCTTAAACATTCCAGCATCCAAAATTCATAGACCATTTTCTTTGCTTTTGTCGACGCTGTGAGTTAATACGAGGCTCTTTCCATTGAGAGCTTGAGCGGATTTTTATATTTTCCGAGTATGGGGGTGCTGGCCCATGCCTCAACCCCTTCCAGGTCGACCGAGTAATTTTCTTTTAGGGTTTTCTTCCCTTAGATTGAGTGTCTTTCAAGACTCTGGACGTTCAAATCTATCTCTATTTCAAGCACTTGTGCTTCTGAACAGGAAAAAAAGGAATGGTAAGGATTCACGTAAGGTTAGAAAACGGAAGCTCCGAGCCCATCGGTAAGGGCGTGCAGGGTGATGGGGTCGCTATATCCCTATATTAAAAAATACCTGTAGATTTTAAAAATTGGAGATGGTAAATTTTTAAAAGCTACTGAAGTCGGACAAGTAATTAGCTATTTTTTAGTTTACAATAAAAAATTCCAATTGTGATGCGTAATGTGTTTTATTTTGAAAAAAATAAATAGAAATTTGATGCAAGAATCGCAGATAATCACAAAAGTGTATCAGTGGGTAATAATTCCAAAATATTTAATAAAAATTACGAGTTAATTGCGATTGCGTGGAAAGAAGGAAGATAGTATAAAATGATAGTTCAACCAACGTTAAAGAAGCTAATGTAAATATCGTGAGCGAAAATAAAGGTGGTATTTCATCAAAAGAAAAGTGGCATCGTTTATTAAGGCATGCAAATTTTACCTATTTGCAAACATTGTGGGAAGATCAACTACTAGATGGCATACCTGAAAAATTAGAATCAGAATTTATGAAATGCAATACATGTATTGAAAATAAAACGCATAATTTATCTTTTGATAGCAATAGAAGCGGCGCCAAAGAAATTTTAAAAATTGTTCACACTGATTTAAATGGGTCTCATGCAACAGCAGGTTTTAATGGGGAAAGATGTTTTCTTTCGTTTATTAATGATTACACTAAAATATATCGAGTTTTTACCATTAAATCAAAAGATCAAGTTTATGACTGTTTTATAGAATACATAAATGAAGTCGAAAATTTGATCGGTAAAAGTATTAAAAATTGAGATGTGATAACGGAGAAGAATATTTGAACAAAATAATCTATGATTTGATTAAAGGAAAAGGAATGCTTGTCCACTTTATGTACATGAATTGAACGGTACGGCTGAAACATATAACAGATCAATTACGGACATATTCATTATCTGAAGCAAAAGTAGAATGAAGATTTTGGCCCGAAGTGGTATGTGTGACCACATACCTTTAGAATAGAACATTAGCTAATACTATTGAAAAGAAAACACCTTATGAAATTTATTTCAAAAAGAAACCCGACGCAAAATATTTACGTTTATATGGGAGTAGAGTTTTTGTGCGAGTACCAGAACAATTGAGAAAAACTAAGAGGGGTCGTAAAGCAGATTTGGGAGATTTGTTAAGCCTCAGTAAAGTCTGTTATAGGGTATTAGTAAACAACAGAATAATTGTTGCTAGACTCGTCGATATTATAGAAGAAAATGTTAAATGTATTGGTTTTGAAGACAATGATTCGAAATTTGAATATTCAGATGATTCTAATAGTGAAAGTGGTGAATCAGATTTAAATGAAAACAGCACAAAAGAAAGTACTGAAAGAGGGACTGCGAGTATAAATAATCAAGATCAGGTACAATAATTAAGGAGATCAAAAAGAGAGCGCAGACTACCTAATAGATTAAAAGACAGCTATACTTATAACAATGTGAGCGCAGATAGTCCTGCAAATTTTGAGGAGGCGATGAATAGTGACGAATCTGAGTTTTAGAAGCAGACAATGAATCGAAAAATTGAATGTTTAGAAAAGAATAAAACTTTGAATTAGTTCAGAAGCCAGATGATAAAAGTATTTTAGATCTGAAGTGGGTTTGTACAAAAAAGGCTGTATAATAGTTATAAAGCTAGACTAGTTGCGAGAGGTTTTCAACAAAAGGAAATTGTAGATATTTATTCTCAAGTTGCGAAAATGCAAACATTGAAAATATTGCTTTCATATTGTTGTCAAAAGGGCTTAATTATCGAACAAATGGATATCCTTGATGGTACCGTTTCATCAGAAATCTTTGTAAAACATGCGGAAGGTTAATAAGACAGCATGGATAACATTTGTAAGTTAGATAAAGCGTTGTACGGTTTGAAAGTCTACGTGCGTGGCATGATTGTTATGATAATTTTTTGGATCAGTTAAACTTTCAAAGAAGTAATTAAGTTTACCGTTTGTATATTAAGAGAGATGGAGACTATATGACTTATTTCATTGTTTGTCGACGATTTGGTAATTTGGTGCAAAGACAATCAAAAGTCTTTTGTCAGAACGGAACATATTGTTCTCTTCTGGCTGTCTCTCTATTCTTAGCGCGACAGCGCGCGAACGGGCCAGGGCCAACCAGCAGCGCCCCGGCCTCGCACGGGGTACGAGTGTCTACCACAAAGACATCGATACGTCGTATTCTGGTCTTCTCAACCTAAGAAGTGAGTATTCGGAACATCACACGGCAACATAAGACATTGCAAGGAACACGTGCACTATAATCTTGCCAAACCGTGACTCGACCCTGGGCTGGCGTCATGGAAAGCTGGCACACTCACCAATGAGCTAAACCACGAGGGCTCTTGCGCTTTAAGAACACGCGTAAATAAGAACTCTATAAATGTTTGAAAAACAAGTGTTGTTCACACCTGTTTTGAAAAGTGTAAATTTGTCAATAAAATAATCCATGAATAAATTAGTTCGAAAGAATTTTCAAGAGCATTTTATATATGCACGAGGGTGGTTTCTTTTAGGACGAATATTAAAGGAAGCACTCTTGCACGCCAGGCGTGGTTTCTGGATTGTTATGTTTGGAGAGGAGGCGTAGCCGAACCGAATCCGCGCTCCTCTCTCCTCTCCTCCCCGCCCCGCCTCTTGTGCCGGGGCGCTTGCGCGCCGGCGTCCACCCCCACTTCCCCCTCCGGCGGCCCGCTGCCGAGCGCACCCTTCAGTCGATCGAGAGCTCGTCATGGACGCTTCTGCGCCGGCGCCGCCCGCCGCGCGCGCCCGCCGCCGCCGCCGCCGACGACCGCCGCCGCCATCGCCGGCGCCGCCAGCAGCTGAGCGTCGACGTCGCCGCCTCAGCCTCCGCCAGCGCTGCCATGCGGTCGCCCGCGCCCAGCCGCCGCCCGGCCGGCCTCCGCTCCGAAGCCTCCGCGCCCGCCTCGCTGCTGGCCTAAGGCGCGCCTCCGCCGCCGCCGCCGCCGCGCCCCGCGCCCGAGCAGCGTCGCGCCTCCCGGGGCAGTGATACGCGTTGGCATGAATGGGCAGTCGCCGCTGGCGCCCCGCCCGCGCCCCCGCCCGCCGCCGCAGCAAGCGCTCGCCAGGCGAATATGCCACACCGTATGACGTGCCTACGCGATTATTACAGAAACAACCTTGTCAATGAGCCACTCAAGAAGTTATTTTTTGAAAGGCATCCCATCTTCCAGTACACGAAGCAGATAGCATTTCACAAGGTAGGGGAAATGTGAATTGGTAACGATATTTTATGATAAGATTTGTTGTGAAACAGACCATCGGAACAAGTCCACAAACATTTTTAATAATTAAAACTGATATTGTTAACTTTTCTACGTGATAAAAGAAATATTTACTCAGAGTGATCCCTGGCTTAGTTGAAATCGTAGAATTTCCTAGAGAAGTGCGTAATTTTTTAATAGATTTTTATATTTTTAAGTAAAATAGCTATATTAATTCTTTGTTACCAAGCCTACATTCAGTGACATATGCTTCGGTACTCGAGAAGCGCAGTTTTTAACAGTCGAAATAACTACTTTGTTTATAGATGCAAATATTTTTTTTAGAAGAAAGAAGCTTATATAACAAACTCTTACCCCGATAGGAGACGATATATTTTAATTTTCTATTTGTAATGTTAACAAATATTTTTCAAAAAACGGTGGCTTATTTTGTATAGCTGATGTGACAGTGAATGGCCTGAATTCAGTTCTTGCGTGCCAGTGAAGTCTGCATATATAAATTTTCACTGCACAGAGGTTAGAAAATCATCTGAGAAGTGTTCGTGTAGAAAAGCGAGGGAATAATTGTCCACACTTCACAACTGCCTTGGTCCAAGGCCAAGCGACCCGTGTTTACCGCGCGTCCTCGGACCTTCCGAAGAGAGCAGCCTGCTGGCGAGCTGAATGAAGAGTCGTCGCTGGTAGCCCCAGCAGCAGCAGCGGCGTCGATCAGGAGGGGAGGGAGGGGCCCCTCGTGACGGCCGCGGGGCGGACCGGGTGTCCGGCATCGCCCCCGCCCCTCCCCGCCCCACCCTCGCGGGCCGCGGGGGGAGGAGGAGGAGGTAGAGGAGAAGGAGCAGGAGGTGGGCGGCGGCGGCCACCATGCTGAGCAGCAGCTCAGAGCTGCTGTTGGACCAGCAGCAGCAGGAACTGCGCAAGCGCAAACTGCTCGAGCTGGCGCAGCCGCGCAAGGTGCCGGCGCCGCGGCGCACGTGCCGGCAGGCCGTGTGGTTCTACGCCACGTCGTTCCTGGCGGCGGCGGCCGTGGGCGGCGGCGCGGCGCTGCTCTTCCTCGTGCCGCTGTACGTGGACCCGGCCATCTCGACGCTGGCCGCCGACTTCGCGCCGCACCCCGTGCGCTGCGTCACGGTGCGCCGCGAGGAGCTCAGCGGCATCTTCAACTGCACGTGGAGCTCGTGCAAGGAGGGCTGCACCTCCGACATGTTCCACTGCCTGCACGTGTTCGTCACGTACGACACGCGGCCCTACAACGCCACCTCGGGCACGTTCGTCACCCTGCCGAGCGGGGCCGGCGGCGGCGGGGGCGGGGGCGGCAACTCCACCGAGGACGACTACGAGGCCGGCTCCACGGAGCCGCCCGACGTCACCGATGAGGCCGTGCTCTACGACAACATCAAGGGCTGCGGCTACCCGCCGGAGGTGGACTGCGACAACTTCACCAAGGCGTACGGCGAGGCCGGCGCCGCCTTCCCGTGCTTCTACTCGCGCGAGAACCGCTCCGTGGTGCTGACGCACTACGACCGCGACCGCCACGTGGCCATCATCCTGCACTACTTCGCGGTGCCGTTCGTGGTGACGCTGGCGGCGTCGGCGCTGCTGTGCGCCATGCACTGCGACTGCCGCTGCAACGACGGGCGCGAGCGGCGCCGCCGCCGCCGACGCAGCACCGTCGAGGACGCCAGGTGAGCACCGCCCTTCGCTCCCCCTTCGCCTGCTTGCTTGCTTCACTCGCTGACTGCCACAACAATCAAGAAAATAACGAACCCTCTGGCCGACCTCTTTTTATCCGTCTATTGGATAAAGATAGCATATTTACCTGATATTAGACCTTGGGAATTAACACTTGATTCACCTAGGTGCACGCCAAAATTATATTCATTGTTAAGCTGTATATTTTAAGTTCCCTTAACGAAACACTGGTTGGAAAAGCGAACGCTGCTCTTCAAGGCTATTGAAACTCATCATGACTCAGAATCAACTGTTGATCCCCAAAACCATTCTCATCCATTCAATAAGCATCACGTTATGCTTCTCACGGCAGCCATCGTATTTGGGGAGACAGACAAATACAAAAAATAGAAAGTTTTGAAATTTTAAAAACTTAACCAAGATAGTTTATTTGGAATTTCGTAAACAGTGGTATGACTTTTATTGCAATTTTTTAAAGAATGTTTACATCTCTATCTGCTGCGGTCGTGGGCATGATCTCCAGTTCTGATTCAATTTTGGTTTATTGGGTCAACCTAATTATCTTAATGTCTGTAACTTGTGTAGAATAAGAGGATGTTCCGTACTTCACGTTGGCGAAACTGTCAAAATTGTTATATCTTTATTGTTGTGGTTTTGCAACATTTGTTTGTTTACACCTGTTCTCTGTATTTGTGAGGTTAGAAGAACCGTTTTTTGGGGATGTATACCTTGTTTATTACAAAAATCTCGACTAAAGAGGCAAGAGGTAAGAAGAGAAGGGCAGTTTTAGTTAATAAGAAGAAAAGGAAGACGTTCCACCATATAGTGCAAGTTACCACTAGAAAACGTGTATTTAAGAGTATAATTTAACTGTAACATGCGTTAAGTGTTTTTGCAAATATAACTAATTTTCTCAGAAACTAATAAAAATAAAAAGATGAAATTTTCAGGATACCTTTACGTAAACGTGAATAAGGTACTTAACGAAAATAATTATTGCAAAATTGTTAGAATTATGGATAAATACAGTATGTGTCTCGTTTTTAAAATTATTTTCTATTATTTTTTAAAATTCTGTAAAACGATTCTATGTTGTCTTATTCAAATAATTCTGGTTAAGTATAATTACTAATAGTTACAAAAAATACTGTAAAATATCAAAGTTCAAAGTAAAGTTCTTTCTGAGATAAAGGGTCCGAATTAAAATAAATGAAACATAGGCTAGAGGGGACCGTCACGCTCCCCTAAACTCTTTCACTAGCTTGAAGTGACGTCTCTAAACGGTTTGAAATTATTTTCATAACTAATTAAGGTTTTTAATTATTGAGTTTTTATTAATAGCGGTTTATAATTATTCTAAGTTTTTAATTATGATAGAAGGATACGAACAAAAATGCTAGTTCCACACCAGCAGACCGAGATAGGTTGAATGACACCTCGCTTGACACAAACGATGGGAAATACTTTTTTTTCGTCACGCTTGGTCTGTTTTACGATTTCGTCGGTACATGACTACTAGAAACAGACGAAATGCATTCTATCATTGATCGTTCTCGCTGGCATAGCTTTGGCAGTTTTGGGCGGTGAGCGTGCTCCCTACCGCCCAGTGAAATCTAGACGTAGGCCCCTGAGAAGGGTCGGAACTATCGGCGCCTCTCATTCTTGCCTGTTCTCGGAAGTAACGGTCAGGTAAGAGGAAGTAAATCTGTGCTTAGGATGCCGATAATTTCGATGTGTTTCGTCTGTGACAAGTAACATGAGCTCTGTTATAAAGGAGAGAATAATTTAATACCGAATTTTAATTGGATTTTAAAAATACTTCCGTAATGGCGTAGTTTCAATTGCATAACTATGCAGAGGTTTGTCAACGTGCCAACGTGAAAACTGTAATTTAGTTTCCGTTGGAACTAAGTGTTGAACTGTATGGCCGATTCTAATAACACCTATCTTACCTTTTTAAAAATAAAAGTAATAATGTTCTCGACAAATACGAAAAAAATGGGCACTTCTCTAACAGCACATCGAGACGCATCGAATGGTTTGCTTGACTTAAACGGAAAACCGGAAGGGGTCTAACTGTAAATAAAAGACGGACGGACACATGCAGGTTACCCCCATTACAATATGTCGAATCTCATCTTCCTTCGCCAAATTCATAACACTAGACTAAGCGTTCCCAACACCGGCAACATTGTCATGGATCATGGGTCAACAAATTTTTGTTTATGGACAAGTAGTTGACACAAGTTCAGGTGAAAGGAGAAATCAATGAGGGTGAGACATGAATTCTGTTTGTTTCCGTTTTACTACAAATGTACACGCTGATAGATCATTTGAATGCGCCTGTCGAAGAAGCTAGGAAATATTTGTACGCCAAAAAACCGTCCAATTATGTTTATAAGGACTGCAAATTAACGGTGAAAACTCTATTATTCGTATAGAATGAAAATCGTGTACGTTATGGCATTGAAGACTAGAAAATGCCACGTTGGAGATGAGCGCTAGGGAAACTTCAGTCTTGTAGAATATTTGGAACGCTCAGTTTAAGCATAGCATTTTCTACTAATATAAAAAAATAATCAGAGATCTGATGGTTGATGACGATTCCATAAGTATGAAAAGAGTTTTAATTAATCAGAAATGATTCTATTGTTGTATAAGATCTTCTTTCCCAACAAACCCACAAAGGGTGTATCGCCGCTGTATTACGTCTTGTCGTAATCCATTGTTCTTCAGTCTTTTTCCCAGAAATACGAATTGAAAACTAATAGTGCTACATAAAGGAACACTTTCTCGCACTGGTCAGTTTTCCAGGCTTTTAGTCTAAGCTAGCTTTTGGTCTTTTCACCCTCTTCCCATTTCTTATCGGCGTCTAAAAGACTTTTTCACAAATTCTCTATTTTTCGGCCCCTTAGTAGTAAGATTAAATTGAAATAAGATGAATTGACAGATTATTTCTTGTTCCCGGGCGCGTCAACTGCTATGGTTATTAGTCCCCTAAGTGTAGTGCACGTTTTTATCACGAAAGGTGGTGTTCCGGCGCCGAACCTACACGTCTACTTACGTTATTTTACCTATCCAGGTATCTCCGTTCAGCGGGGCACCCCACCAACTGAAATGAAACTGTTGAAATAGATGTGAATGTGTGTGTGTGTGTGTGTGACGAAATGTTTTAAGATTTTGAGTAATGGGAATAATTTCTTCCATTTATAGAACTGTAACGGGTTTATTTCTGTGATAATATTTTACCACTTCTCCTTCTATTTTTCAATACGTTTATTCCATCTTACAATTATCCTATGAAGCCTCATTCTTTCAATTCAGTACACAAATATATGAATTAAAGAGTTGTAAAACTATATTCTTTGAGCTGTTTTTTGCTTGACACAATAAAACAATAAAAATATGAATTATTATTTCTGCGAAAACGAATACACTCGGTGTGAGAGACACGAAAAGATGAAATCCTTGAAGATAATATCAGGTCGTATATATATATATATATATATATATATATATATCATATTTCTAAAATAAATTTTTCAAACACGTTTTCTGTTTTTCTCTCTCGAAGCTTAGATTGATTCCGTTGATTCGTTAGAGATTCTGTTGTGAAGAATAAGGTTATTGTTGTCCGTAATTGTGGTGGTATGTTTAATCGCGGGTAGTGGCAGTGGCAGTGATTCACCCCCCCCAGCTGGCGAAATCTGCACCGACCTACCGTCGGCTTGCGAGGATTTTCCTTCACCAGATGTCTCCGTCCCAAGTCAGCTCCCGACTGGTCTTCTGGCATGTGTGGTTGTGTAGTGTAGATAAGTGTGTGTAAGTAAGGGATGAGGGTAAGACTAGGAAGAGAAAGGAAAGATCGCGTGCGGCCCGTGTCCGTTTTTTCGGGTACTGCTTCGGCATTCTCCATCCAGCAGAATATTGATCGGAGAAACAAAGGTAAACTACCTACCAGACCAGTCGGCTGCTAGAATTCTCCTTCACAAAGAGGCTGAACTCGATCTAGCTAAGCATCTAGCGTCGAAAATCCTCCCACCATCGGGACTCGAACCCTAGGACCTTCAGATAAGAAGCATTGCAGTGATCGCTGTATACCCTAAGACAATTGAAGTTCTTAGAAATTAACCGATTGGCCCTCCCCGAAACAACTTTATTTCTGAACAATTTTGCTGGGCATACTGTGGATGCCCAATGTTGCCTACTTTGCCTCCAAAATTTCCCAATACCCACTATCACAAGAAAACTAGTACTCGTTCATATTTTTCCACTCAATCATTTTTAGTTTCCTTCAAATCATTTGTAATTCCATTGAATAGAAAATGGAATTGGTAAATAATATCACAAACAATAAATGTTTCAACAATAGGTGGTTTTCAAAAGAGCTTAGTTTTCACACTTTCGAACCAAAAACAAGACGCTTTCGGGTTGTAATTTCATCTATTTACAGAACGCTTTACGAAAAACAAAATTAATGATTACTTCTGTTTCCTTATTCAGAATGAATAAAATGATGAACACATATACAGTATAATGAGGAACAACGTCGTTACTAACGTTAAACTATTCACCTCTTAAAAATATTGTACTTTGGGATCATGAAGTAGATAACTGATAAGTGCCCTTTAACCAATATTATTGTTTTCTTGTACCTTTGTATCTTAACATTAATAGAACATTACGTCTTTTCACAGCAAGTTCACAAAAATACTCGTATGAAAATTTACGAGATATAAAACTGATACCAACTGGAAGAGATTCAAAGCCTCTTTTTAAAATCACCCATAACAGATATTGTTAGAAAAATGCACTTATTGTAAGTTATTCGTAGTTTTCTTCAAATCAGTGGAGGTAACTCGAAATGTTTGCAAATTCTTTCCCATCAATATACTAGAACAGTAAAAGCTTCTTTTTAGAATTTAAACTTACACTTTTTAATTTTTCCTCCTTATACCATAGAATAAGGAGGAAAAGTATTAGTCATCTCAGCAATA